TTAATTATATTCATCATGAAAAGTTTTTTATCCCCACCAACCTTGTGGTTCAAACCGACTTTATGGTCTAGTGCTTATCCTACAGCGCCACACCAGGACCCCAAGGGTGGGATACACTGCCCTTTATCCCATCACCACACTGATTCAATATAGGGGGGGATTTCCAAGGCTATGGCATGCAACACCTATTATCTTACAAAAGATAAACAGACAGAGATGTTAAGCAGAGAAAGAGGGACCCATTAACTACCAAGAAAGAAGAGCCAGGAGTAAAGTGTGTCCTTTGGGCCTGCGGTCCCTACACTGTGAAGATCCTAAATGCAGGGAGAAATTGATGTCAACAATATAGAAAACTCCAAGGAATGTTGGACCTACAGATGTTGAAAGGAGACAAGGACCTTTCCCCAGAGCTGGTACCTTGAATTTGAACTTCTAGCCTCCTGAATTGAGAGAGAATAAATTTCTGCTTGTTAAAGCCATCCACCTGTGGTGTTTCTATAGCAGCACTAGGTAACTAAGAGTAATGGTTACCAGGATGGGTGGGAGGGAGAGATGATTATTGCTGAAGGGCTCCTTGGAAACCCCATACAGGGTTGGTATGTGTTGGAACCAACTCAACAGCACTTAACAACCACAACAACATCCCTCCTTTAATCCTCTTAGTGGTTTATCATATCAGATCACATCATGGGGGAATCATCATATAACTGCTAAACCACTGGGAATCATGGCCCAGCCAAGCTGACACATACTGGGTGTGGGGGGAGGAAACACAATTCAATCCATGATAACTAATAAGCTGTCATCTCTATGCATTTGCCTGTTCTGCGTATTTCATGTAAGTGGAATAATACAATATGTTTTCTTTTGAAATAAGTAATCTGTTCTAACTGATTTCACTTATTTTTTTATTGTGATTAAATATACATGTAACAAAGCATTAACTACCTCAATAATTTTCACATACGTACTGCTCACTGAAATTATATTATTCATGTTCACCCATCACTCTTGTTCTTTCCCAGATACTCCCATCACCTTTAGCAGAGCTCAGTGTCCTGTGACCATTGAGTCCTCCTTTCCCTCTACTCCGTGCTTTCCTGTAGTAACCACTAATGAACCTTCGTCCTTACACACTTGCCTATTCTACGTTTTGTGTTAGTAGGCTCATGTAATATTTGTCCTTTTGTGATTGACTTACTTTAGTCAGCATATTTTCAGGGTTCATCCAGGTTGTAGCCATCAGGACTTCATTTTCTTTATGGCTGAGAAATATCCCATATATGCAAGTAACACATTTTGTTTATTTGTTCATCTGTTGATGGACATTGAGTCTATTTCCACCTTTTAGTTATAGTGAATAAAGCTGCAGTGATCATTGCTTGTTGTTGTTAAGTGCCGCTGAGTTGGTTCTGATCCATAGCGACCCTGTGTAGGGTTCTCATGGAGCAGCTGGTGAGTGTAAACTACCAACCTTGCTGTTCAAACTGACCTTACAGTCCAGCGCATTACCCACACCACCACACCAAGACTCTAGCATTGGTATGCAAGTTTTTTATTTGTTTGCAGTTCTGATTTCACTTCTTCTGGATGGATATATACCTAGGAGTGGAATTGCTGGGTCATATGGTAATTCTATATCCAACTTTTTGAGGAACTGCCAAACTGCTTTTTACAATGACTATTATCCGACTCGACGGCACTTAACAACAACAACAACAACAACATTATTTTACAATCTCATCAGCAATGGATGAGGATTAGCATAGTGTTTTCAAAGTTCATCAATGTCATAACATACTAGGTCTTCATTTCTCTTTGTCAGTGGTATAAAGCTGACTTTCTCATCCCAAAGGGCCCTGGTCTGTCTTCCATTAATGGAACTACCTCATGCTTATTTGCTCCCTGTAGCTTTAAAAAATATCTCTAAGTGTGCCCTCTCACTAGCTAAAATTTCATATATTGAGCTTCCTATGGACTTTCAGCTTGATGCCCCATTGTCACTTCTAACTTAGATAGATATGAAACACCAAGCTGATGATTTCAGACAACCTCTGTCAGTCTTACCTTCTCCCCATATTTTAGTTTCCTTATCAGTGGTACCGCCAGTCTCCCAGGTATCCAAAATTGGTGTCATTTTTATTCATGTATTTCCGTTATCCTCATACCAAGAAGTTATCAGTTCCTTTCTAAGACATCCTTAGTATTTTCAGATTTTAACTCCCTCTTCCATTCTGATCATCACTGCTCTGACTTCAACTCACACATGCATCCTACCTCTTAGATAGTTAGAGTATATTGTCTGGAATGATGTAAGAAAAGAATTATTAAGAGCTTAAATCAGAAAATGTTGTAAAATTATTATAGGTATAACTAGGTGTTAGAAATATAATCTATTATGCAGAATCCTTTCAGGTGTAACTCTTTGATATAAATATTATTAACAGGCCATGAACACCAGAGAAAGTGGCAAAGCTTCATCTAGTTTAGGACTTCAGGATTTTGATTTGCTCCGGGTAATAGGAAGAGGAAGTTATGCCAAAGTTCTACTGGTTCGATTAAAAAAAACAGATCGTATTTATGCAATGAAAGTTGTGAAAAAAGAGCTTGTCAATGATGATGAGGTAAGCACAGTGACGTAATTTATTAAACGTAGTATAATCTCAATGTTTGTGCTTTTTAAATTTCAGACTGCTTTTCTAAATATATGCTTTAAGACAGATTATAAAAGAGATATTTAATCTATTTGTTGTTGTTGTTATGGTCCGTGCCTGTACAGGATTTCTGAGGCTGTAAATCTTTACAGGAGCAGAAAAGCCTTATTGTGGTTACAAATCAGGCTGCAAACCGCAAGGTCAGCAGTTTGAAACTACCAGCTGTTCCACAGGAGAAAGATGAGATTTACTCTATTAGATTTAATAAAAAATAGAAATCTATATCATCTGGGGAAAATATTTGAGTTTTATAAAAGTTTTCTAGATATTTTCATTATTGAAAGATTTACTGGTGGTGTTTTTTATTTGTATATAAGTTTGTTATATAATAATTATAAGAGTCCTAGTGTGGCACTGTGGGTTAATGCACAGGATTGTAAATTCGGTTTGAACTGCAAGGTTAGTGGTTCAAGCTCACCAGCTTGCTCCTTGCAAACAGTACACAGGGTCGCTATGCATCAGAACTGACTCAATGGCACAAACTATAACATCACCACCATTATTATCAGTGATTAAGATAATAGCTGTTTCTGAGACTGTCAAGTTGGTACCAACTCATAGTGATCCTGTATAGGATTTTCAAGGTGGGTTTGAACCATCAAACTTGTGGTTTAGTAGCCCAGTGCTTATCCTCCTGCTCTACACCAGGACCCTAATGTTAACCTGGTTGTTGTTGTAAAGTGCCGTCAAACCGGTTCCGACTCATAGCAACCACGTATACGGTTTCCCAGGGATTATTGGGTTTGAACTGCCAACCTTGTGCTTAGCAGGCCAGTGCTAGAGCACCACACCAGGATTCCTATGTTAACCTAGTGATAATAATATGATATTATTGATATTGAATATATGATAATTCAGTTGCTAAGAACAAATTTATCTTTAAATTTGATGGTATCAGTTTGACACAATATATTTCTTTTTTATTTTAAAATAGGATATTGATTGGGTACAAACAGAGAAGCATGTTTTTGAGCAGGCATCCAATCATCCTTTTCTTGTTGGCCTGCATTCTTGCTTTCAGACAGAAAGCAGGTAAGATTGAGAAATAATGGAATGAGTTCTGGACTTTATACATTTGTTTAGTACACTAAAAGAATCCTTTCTACCTTAATTTATGTCACTGGTAGTAATTTATGGAGTTAGAAGTCCAGGAAAAGGACATAACAGAACTATGCTTATAACTTCCTGAAACTCACATTCTAATAAGTAATAACCGTTTGACAATGGATTGTGGTTGTTAAGTGCTGTCAAGTTGGTTCTGACTCATAGCAACCCTGTAATAGGATTTCCAAGGAGCAGCTCGTGAGCCTGAACCACCAACCTTGTGGTTCAACAACGGATTAGAATTAGGAAGTTACCTGCTTTAGGCCAATAAAAGACCAGATCATAATTATGATAATAGAAATCCAATCCTTTATGTAATCTCAGAATTCTTACTTTGGGATTTAAGGTTTCTCAAGAGTTCAACTGAGGTGGGGAGGAAGAAGATCATAATTTCTTTATCTTAAGTGGCAGCTGAAAATCACTTGAAAATATTAAAATTTGTGTGGGTTGAGTGACTCTGTGGTTCATAAGTGGTACAACTTTAGAATCAAAGTAGAAGTTGCAGAATTAGCATTCTGGTTTACTTTCTCCTTTCTGCTGTGTTTGTTACCTGTTGGTCCCACCCAATTCCTGACATCTTTGTTAAGAATAAATTATAGAATGATCTTTCTGTTGTGATTTATTTCGAATGCAAAGTTCAGTTTAGAATGCAAAGTTACACTATTTTTGACCATGATTTCATGGATTCTATCTTGCATTTTAGGTTGTTCTTTGTTATAGAATATGTTAATGGAGGAGATCTAATGTTTCATATGCAGAGACAGAGAAAACTTCCCGAAGAACATGCCAGGTAAATTTTTTGTTTGTCTTGGATTTGGGTATTGACTTCTTAGTGACAGTGGTTGAAAGCAGAGATAATCCAATATTTATATATTGATTAGTTAATTTTTTATAGGCATGTGGAGGCTGTAAACCATTAATACATATAATGTATTACATATTACATTATAATTATAGTATGTTTTATCGTATACTTACGTTTTCTAAGCAACTAAAAGTATTCCAAACCCAAAACCAAACGAACTGTAATCGAGTAGATGTGATTCATAGTGACCTTATATAGGGTTTTTGAGACTATAAATCTATACAGGAGCAGAAAGCCGCCTCTTTTTGCTGAGGAGTGCCTAGTGGATTTGAACTACTGACCATAAGGTTTGCAACCCAATTCATAT